GCCATCAACGGACACAGAGGCGTTAACCACGTCTGCAGACGGTGCAAAAGAGGCCATCAACCAGCCCCCAAAGGGAACAAAAAGACCCCAGCTCTTCTCCTTTCTACCAGCAACCAGCACCCAGATCAGCAGAGATTAACTCCCAGGTCACCTTCAGACCAAGTAAGCAACACCCCAGTGAAGATACGGCCAAAGAGCCCTTAAGAAACAGCCCAACTGAAGAATCCCTAAGACCCCCACCCAGGCAGGCAGGCAGGACACCGGAATATAAAGTGACAGCAAACCCCATTCCTTACTAGCACTGATGATATTACCTAGTTGGGTCATGAAACATCTGCAAGAAAACAAGCAAGCTCAGAGAGCACCAGGGACCCCACAGTTGTCCTCCTCCTTGCACTGATGATGTTACCTAGTTGGGTCATGAAACGTCTGCAAGAAAACAAGCAAGCTCAGAGAGCACCAGGGACCCCCACAGTTTAAGCTTTGTTACACCACTTCATTGAATCCACAGGTGAGGCCCGTAGCCTGTTCGGAACCGAGCCGTGCAAGCCGCGGGCGAATGTGTGTGTGCGCGCGCGTGCAGCTCCATTTGCGCAAGCGGCAGGCGTTTGCGTGTGCAGCTCCATTTACATGACTGGCGAGCACTCGTGCGCGAGGCTCCCTTTGCATGAGTGGCATGTGTGCACACCTGCTGTGTAAAGAGTTGTGCGCACAAGTGTGGGCACCTACCGCTCACACAGAACCACCACCGCCACCCCGCCGATCCACCAAGCTGGAAAGGTTGGGGACCGCTGCTCTTATCTGCCGCCCACCACAGCGTCGTTCAGGTCTAACTACAGACCTGCCTGTAAAATGGGAACAACGCCTTCTCGGTAAAAATACAGAGAAAGAAGGAAAGAATGAATGAAGATGGGCCGGGCCTTTGTCTCCGTCTTCTTGCCTTTGGAAATGAAAGGAGGAAAAAACCAGGAGCCCGGCATTTCTCTTACTTGTGGAGCAACGAGAGATAAAAAGGGAGCCTTACAGAGATGAAGGATTCTGCTTGGACTTCGCGGGCGAGCAAGAAACAAAAAGAGAATGAAGAAGGTGCAGATGGAAATGAATACATCGGAAGTTAAGGAAGCAACGTTACAGAGTCCCTGGGAACTCTGTGGCTCCCTCAGGACTATTTCCGTTCAGCGCAGAGAGCAAGAATGGCCCACCCAGCCCGGATCTCATACCGTGGAGAGGCCACTCTGGGGAAGACGACCCGGGCTGCTGTGTCATTAATATGCCAGGTTCTTTGGGAGGAGGAGGAGGAGGAGAAGAAAAGTTGGAAGGGACCTTGGAGGTCATCTAGCCCAACCCCCTGCTCAGGCAGGAAACCCTATACCATTTCAGACAAATGGCTGTCCAGTCTCTTCTTAAAAACTTCCAGTGTTGGAGCATTCACCGCTTCTGGAGGCAGGTAGTTCCACTGATTAATTGTTCTCATTGTCAGGAAGTTTCTTCTTAGTTCTAGGTTGCTTCTCTCCTTGGTTAGTTTCCATCCGTTGCTTCTCGTCCTGCCTTCAGGCGCTTTGGAGAATAGCTTGACTCCCTCTTCTTTGGGGCAGCCCCTGAGATATTGGAAGGCTGCTATCCTGTCCCCCCTCGTCCTTCTCTTCATTAAACTAGACATACCCAATTCCAGCAGCCGTTCCTTAGATGTTTTAGCCTCCAGTCCCCTGATCCTCTTTTTTGCTCTTCTCTGCACTCTTTCTAGAGTCTTCTAGGATCTTTAACGATGAACTAATGAGGAGCATTGTCAGCTTCGGAAAAGCAAAGGGACTTAGGACCCCAACCATGTTGAATTTTCTCCATCCCTATCAATTGTGGCTTTTCTTCTTGACCAATGAGGACTAGGGATCTTTTATCCAAACAGATTATTTGTAGTTTTAAGATTGAGCTGTGGGGTCCTTGGTGCTGTCTGAGCTGGGTTGTTTTCTTGCAGACGTTTCATTACCCAGCTAGGTAACATCATCTGTGCTAACAGGGAGTGGGTTTGGGAGGGGAGGAAAAGGAGGAGGACTGTGGGGGTCCTTGGTGGTCTCTGAGTTTGGTTCTTTTCTTGCAGACGTTTCGTAACCCAACAAGGTAACATTGTCAATTTTTATCCCTTAATGTTTACTCTCTGCCAAGGCGTGATGATGTTACCGTAGAATCAGTTTAAGGGCCTGTTTATTTTAATTGCATACTTGTACATACAGTATGGTCAAAATTGTGGAAACCTTTTGGGAAAAGTGTATTTTTGAGGTTTGGTGGCTAATAACACCCCTTTTTTTTTGGAGTAGTACTATAAAATTATATATCAATGGAAAGATAATTTAATCAAGAATGTAATGCAACAAAGTTTGTTCAATTATCTGTACTGTATTCCATGAAAAGTTGTAGCCAAATAACCAGAAAAAGGAAGCACAACTTGCTTAGGTTGATCTCAGGTAGCTTTCCTTCGTCTGATTGTAGCCAATGAGCATGAGTGTTTAGAGAGCCAATCGGGTGTCATCTTGTTTTGGCCATGAGCCAATCAGATCACAGTAGGATCCAGTTATTAATGTCATGTATAGAAGCTGAGAGGAGGATATTTGTCAGTGTGTTATGTGATGGCTATCAAGTTGCTTGGGTTTTTTTGTGTCCTTTCATTTAGTGAGCTTGTAAAACGTAATAAAATTAAAGTCATGGTGCAAAAAGTTGACTGGTCGCCCAGAAAGCGATGTAAAATAGTATTATTAAGTGAACAAGGCTACAGTGATAAAGAAATTAGAAGAAAAATGGGTGGAAACTTAACCAAAGGTGGCATTTCTACTGTACACTTGTCCTAAAATATTTCCACAATTTTGGCCACTACTATAAATGTGTTCAAATCTCTCCAAATATACAGGAAGACTTCAACTTATGACCATAATGGAGCCTGTCACGATGGTCATAAAGTGGCTCCTACCCATATAACTGACTCAAATTTATGACCGTTTTTGCAGCAGTCGTTAAGCAGATGCCACTGTCGTTAAGTGGAACCCGTTGGCTGAAAGCTGTTTCCTAAACTGAGGTGGCTTTTCCCAAATCCCAGAGTTCCTCACCTGAAATTATTTTTTTTCCTGTTTCTTTCAGCCACCTCCAAAACTGCCCAACGGGGTTTTCACCCAAGAATTCCAGGAGTTTGTAAATAAATGGTAAGACATCTTGCGCTTATCAGCGGGAAATGTAAAACCTTGGGATTAGGGTCAGGGAGTCTGTGTGAATGCAACTCCTGGAGACACACAGGCTCAGGATGAGGGCTTCACCTGGGTGCCAGGCCTGCAGATGGTGACCTTAAGTGCCAGGGCTCCTGGCTAACCATAGATTATTTTTTACTAGAAAAGTCTAGAAAACATAACTTCTGATGGCTGTGGGCCAGGCTGTTGGTTGCTCTCTCTCCGTGGGGATTTATTTATTTATTTATTTATTTGTTTGGATTTTTATCCCGCCCTTCTCCTTACGGACTCAGGGCGGCTGACAGCCTGATAAAAACAATACAGAGATAGAGATACCCACTTTAAAACATAATTAAAATAAAATATTTGATGTGGCCTGTGTCAATTTAAAATTATTTTTAAAACCCCACTAAAAATCTCCCCCTAGGC